GATTTCGGCCTCGTTCGTGACCTTAGATGGGTTGAAGCAGGGAGATGCTCTTTCGAACTTGCTATTCAACATCGCCCTCGAAGGAGCGATTAGGAGAGCTGGCGTGCAGAGGAACGGTACCATCATCACAAAGTAGCACATGCTCCTCGGTTTTGCGGACGACATCGACATCATCGGAACACACCGTAGAGCAGTGGAAGAGGCGTTCGCGCCTTTTAAGAGAGAGACAGCGAGGATTGGTCTCGAGATAAATTCTACCAAAACGAAGTACATGGTCGCCGATAGAGAGCGTGAAAAAAATGAAAAAATGAATAGAAGTTGAAATTGAGCGAAGAGCCATTAATGCGACAATACTTAAGCTTGAATCATTTAATATCAGGACTAAAAAAAAAACGCTTGTATCTCGAAACCATCTTCGTGAAATTCAAATGTTGAGTATTCAAAATGAAGGTCATTTGCTGTCCATGGTCGCCGGTAGAAAGCGTGGGAGCAGGACTACCATCGCGTAAACTGGGCCCAGTTTGGACGCGTGGTAGACAGGCACATCATCGACAACCTGCCGCTTGATACCGTGGAGAACATCGACCGAGCGTTGGAAGGACTCCACCAAGCCATAACCGTGGCTGACGAGGTGTGCGTCCGACGAGTTCCTGTGAGGGGTAAGTTTATTGCCATTGATTTTCACACCCATCTTTTGATTCGTCTGAGAAATGTTCGTAGACGCCAGTTTCAGAGGACTGGAGATCTGGGCAAAAAACGTGAAATGGCCGATCTGAACAGGCAAATTGCTTCCAGAATGGACTCACTCCGAAATGAAAGTTTCGGGCGTGTTGTCCAGAATCTGGATGACCGCACCAGACCATTCTGGAAGGTAGCCAAGGTCCTGAAAAATCATCCCAAACCCGTTCCACCTCTCAAAGTCGAAAATGATGTGGATCGGCTTTTAATCACCCCACAGGAGAAAGCAAATGCGATCGGCAAGCATGTCACTTCATCGCATTTGCTTGGCTCGAATATCCAAAGTCCGCTCGAAGATCAGGTTGCGCAATGCGTACAAAACCTTGATGCCTCCCCTTGTGTCGTGCCACCGGCGGATATGATTACAGTACAACAGATTTGCTCAGCGCTGAAATGCACCAAGAACATGAAGGCTCCCGGGTTTGACGGTATATTTAACTTGATCTTGAAAAGACTCAGCATGAAAGTGAGTCTCTTCTAACCGCTATCTTCAACAGATGTTTGGAATTGCACTACTTTCCAAGCATCTGGAAAGTAGCAAAAATCATACCAATCCGCAAGCCCGGTAAGGATCCAACATTGCCTTCAAGCTACAGACCAATCAGCCTCCTTTCAGCGCTGAGCAAATTGTTGGAGAAACTCATTCTCAATCGTTTGCTCAAGTTTGTCGAGGAAAATAACAATCTCCTTCCGAAACAGTTTGGGTTCAGAAAGGGGCACTCCACCAATCACCAGCTAGTGCGGGTGATGAATAACATCCGAAGTAACAAGGCTGTATCCAAGTCCACATCCATGGCCTTCTTAGACGTTGAGAAAGCGTTTGATATTGTCTGGCACAATGGGCTTGTATAAAAGCTTTGTAACTTCAACTTCCCATTACATGTGGTTAAAATCACCCATAACTACCTCCAGCAAAGGTCGTTTAAGGTATCGTTGAATGGTTGTCTTTCCGACACGTTTTCCATCCCAGCAGGAGTGCCGCAAGGCAGTCTGCTGGGCCCCTTGCTTTACAGCATTTACACTTCCGACATGCCTCCCCTTGGAGACGGTTGCGTGTTTCTCCTGTTCGCAGATGATACCGCAATAGCCGTCAAAGGAAGGATGCCTCGGGAAATAACAAACTTCAACGATGCCTTAACGCCTTTGCTGATAATGCCATCACGTGGCAAATTAAAATCAATGCCTCCAAAACACAAGCGATCATGTTCCTCCATCGGCAATCGTCCAAACTAAAACCGGCTCCATCTTGTACTGTAATCATGGATGGCACAAGGGTTGAGTGGTCTGCCGAAGTAACCTATCTCGGGATGTTGTTCGATGAAAAGCTCCTATTCCGTTCGCATGTAGAGAAAACAGTAGTCAAGTGTTCTACCTTGGTTAGGTGTCTGTATCCGCTGATTTGCCGCAGATCCCGCCTCTCAAGGGTGAACAAACTGGCCGTCTACAAACAAATCATAGCACCTGCGATCCTCTACGCAGCTCCGGTGTGGGAATCATGTGCACAGACTCACAGGAACAAAATTCAGGTCGCTCAGAATAGAGTGCTGAGGATGGTTCTTGATCGTCCTTTCGACACTAGAATAACAAATTTACATGAAGAGGCAGGCATTGCCAAAATAGATTCCCGAAGTAACGAAATTAAGACTAAATTTGCACAAAAATTAAATTCATCAGAACATGCTTTGATAAGCAATTTGTATATAGTAGATTAGGTGTATATAGTAGTTGTAGGTTAGTTATAGTTGTAAATAGTAGTTATAAGTAGTCTTCTTTTTCATACTTAAAACAAACCAATCCCACCAAGGTGGTCATTCTTAAAACAGGCCTGATAGGACTAGGAACTGTTATTAATAATAATTGAAATTTCAAAGCAATTAAAGTTGAAAAGACGCATCTGTGTCACTTGATAAGTTATACATGTAAACCACACAAATTCAAGAAATATAGATCATTTGAAGTCAAAAAAAAAGTGAAGTCGTGGGAGCAATAGTGGTGTTGGTAGTGAAGTGGTGCTAGATGGCGAAAAATTTGAAGTTGTGGACGAATTTGTTTATCTTGGTACTTTAGTGACGTGCGATAATGATGTTACCCGCGAGGTGAAAAGGCGTATTGCAGCCGCAAACAGGGATTTCTACGGGTTGTGTAGCCAGCTGAAGTCCCGCAGCTTGTGTACGAAAACGAAATTCGCGCTGTACAAGACGTTGATTCTGCCGGTAGCCTTTTATGGCCACGAATCGTGGGCATTGTAAGAGGCCGATCGGAGAGCTTTCGATGTCTTTGAGCGTAAAGTGCTGCGAACAATACTCGGTGGTAAACTGGAAAATGGCATCTGGCGGCGTCGCATAAATCACGAGTTGTACCAAGTATATAACGGCATGGATATTGTGAAGCTTATAAAACACGGCAGGCTACAGTGGGTTGGGCATGTGACACAAATGCCAGAAGAGCGTCAAGCGAAGTCAATATTCAGCAGGGAACCCGGAAGAGGACGTCGGCTTCAGGGTAGGCCACGCACGCGTTGGCTTTGTGCAGTTGAGGAGGACATTAGGTCCTTGAACGTCCAAGGCGACAAACGTAATGCATCTACACCGGGTTGAAGCGCTACTACTTGCGATGGTAATGTGGTGTTTACACTTAGGCTAGTTTGCTAGGCTGCTAGCAAAAACGCCCACCAGCATAATGTAAACAGGGCATCAGCGTCTACCAGCATGAAATTTCAGGAGCAACTGAAATTCGTGCTAGTTGGCGAGTACACTAGCGCGAGTAAATCTGCACAGATGTAAACACCCCATAAATGATAAAAATAGACACTGATTGTGGCTTACCAGAGGTTAGAGGGGTACATTGTCGAAGGATAGGATTAGGGGAGGAGCTTAGGGGTGAGGTTTTGTTGTCTCATCAGAGCGTTGTCACCAGTATGAACGGTAGGTAATTGATGGTCCTTTCGACACTAGAATATCAAATTTACACGAAGAGACAGGCATTCCCAAAATAGATTCCAGAATTAACGAAACTAACCATAAGTTTGCACAAAAATGTATTTTATCAGAACATGCTTTGATAAGCAATTTTATATAGTAGATAAGGTGTATGTAGTAGTTGTAGGTTAGTTGTAGTTGTAAATAGTAGTTATAAGTAGCATTATTTTTCAATTTAAAATAAACCAATCCCACCAAGGTAGTCATTCTCTAGAACAGACCTGATAAGACTAGGAACTGTAACAAATAATAATTGAAATTCAAAAGAACTAAAGTTGAAAAGACGCCTCTGTGTCACTTGATGAGTAATTCATGTAAACCAAACAAAAACATTTAAAGTTAAAAAAATAGTATGAACGATAGTGTGGTTCTGCATTCGTCAGGAGGTCGACTGGCTATGGTGACCAGTGGGCGACGATGAGACTCATCGACCGACTAGACAAACAAAAACTAATAGGACTAATATGGTTTAGTTGTTGCACTACCTGAAAAAATGCTCTTCAAAGGATTCAGAACAAAGTTCTGAACAGGATTACTTCCACTCACTTGCTATAAAAAATGTTTTTTTTTCAGAATTATGAAATCATGAGATGGTATAGTGATAATTTGTACTTGTAAGTTACAAGACGAGTACGTGAAGTATGTGTTTGACACATAAAATCTGTCAATATTGCTTTCAGTGAGTCGCAATCAGCAATTTAACGACTCGTGAGTTCTCACTCTGAGTGAACGCTCACGAATCATAAGATCGCTTATTGTGACGCTCTGAAAGCAAAATTGACAGGTTTTATAAGTCAAACACTACATTTATTACTTACAAGTACAGCATATCATTATATCATCTAATGATTGCTAAAAATAACTAACAATTTCCGTTTATAATTAATTCCAAAAATAATAAGTCAATTCCATTTATAATAAGTTCGATATAGTTAAAGATTTTTGTTTTAAGAAGACAATTGTTATACTGACATGCATCACCGCTTCACACACAACAATCCCATATGAATAGGAAACCTCTAGGACACGAGACTGTTGTGCGAATAGCGACATTGCAGATATGTACAGAAACCTGGTTTAGAATACTGAACTGCCAACGCAAGAGCAATGCAACCACACTTAGATTGTAAAGCTACTTACGACAGTATGAGCATCTCGGTTAAAACATGAATGTGAATCGACGAAAAAAAACCTATCTGCTCGACCTAGAAGATTTGCATTGAAACATTTTCAATACAAGGCCATTTCTCATTCAATCAATTGTTCCATGATGGACGGCACCTGCGGTTTGTACTTTATTTATTTTATTTGCTTCTCATACTCGTGTTAAAGTTAACATCATTATGCCTAAACCTAAAATTAAATACGTGCTACGTGAAAAATGTAGCGGAAACATCTATGCATTCAATGTTGGCCAACCTCCCCTTCCCGTCGTCCCTTTGCCGCTTTTCACGTACGAAGTCTATTTCGGCAAGTTCCTCCATCATCCATCCATAAATGAATATACCTACCAGTGCAAACAGTCAGTATCGAACAGTGCAAACGGTCTAAATAAACACTAACCTAATATTGGGCATCACCAACCTAAATTTACGCAATACATTAACCGTACGCCTATTGACTTGTGCATTCGTACCTTCGGACGTGTTACAACACATTCTTCAAAAAAAAAAAAAACATCTTCTTCGCCAAGGTTAAGCATACATCATATCCACGGTCATCTGTCGCACCTCTTTCCTATCGTCCATTCATTAGCATTCGTTCCAATATGCTATTACTGCTGCCGCGCTGCAAGTACCTACTTGTACACACGTTGAACTCCCTTCAAATTGCTCTAGAGGGCTTTCTGTTTCACCCGCCGCACTTGCCACGATTGTGCTCGAAGTAGAAGGTAGCTCAGTAGCCGCTTGAGGACATAAGCAACCAGAGCCAGCACGACCAGAGCTGTGGCTAGTAGTGTGGCCACCACGTCATAATAGTGATACTGCCAGGCTGGCATCTGGGCCTGTTTGTACCGCAGGTGCGAGGCTCCCTGATGTCGGATGACGTACTCCGTCCACCAGACGGCTTTGTCCAGTGGGCGCATCGGTTGGTCCCGGACCAGCTTGGCCAGCCGTTCGATGTTTCGTTTGTATCTAGTGGGAAAGGGTGGGAAGAGATGGAAATGTGATGAGACCTATAGGCGGAGGATTTTGAGTTTTCCTATTTGTAAAGGTTACAGAATGTGGGAATATTAACGACGACGTTGTAGACAAATTACGTGATTGAATGACAGATGTCGACATATGGGAAACTGAATGAACATATACTGATGGAGAAGTTCCGAGAAGCACCTTTAGAACCAATAAATATAGAGTATGGCTTCATTGACTCGAAACTCGAAAGTGCTGAGTCCCGACCTACAAAAGTAGGAGTTGATGAAATCCATGAGTGAGCACGTTGAGCATAAGCCAACGGCCTTATAGGCTTAGAAAAAAGGGTTCACACTCTATGCCAGTGTTGCAAAAATATAAAAAAAATTAAATCTCATCAAAGAACAAGACCTCGCATGATTTTCGTAGACCAAAATCAACAAGCAAACAACTGCGGTTGGTATTGCAAGCAGTGAATCGCAGTTTGGAAGATCAAGCTAATAAAAATCATCAGCTGCCAATCTCACCAAACTATGGTGAGATTGAGTTTCATGTTTTTTGCTTTACACCCAAACGCAACCGATACTTTCATAACGGATGGCAGCAGTCGCATCGTGTCTGCCATCGGTCAAGAGAAAAATGGGATACCTTAAAATCAAGCTTAGGTTTTCAATCAAACAGTTAAGTTAAAACAAACAGGATAATACAGTACCATATAGGTACTTACTTTTTGTTCCCGATAACCTCCAGTATCGCCTCCCGGAGGTTCTCGGTCGTTAGGTGTTCCATCCAGATCGTCTTTCCGATGCCACGTTCGACCACCTTGTCTCCATTGCCAAACTGGTCGAAGTTGAACGGTATCACCACCATCGGAACTTGTCGATCTACTGCTTCCTCCATTGACTGCTGTCCACCCTGGGTCACGAATAGCTTCACATTTGGATGGGCTAGAGGTCAAGATAGAAAAAAAAACGTTGTATAAGTAAGTTTATTTATTTATTTCGTCAACCAACGTAGACTAGAACATATTCGAGTACAGTTTTGTTTTCTTAAATTTATTTATTTATTTCGTCCACTTTGGACAACAGGTTAAAAGTATAATTTTGTCTTTAATAAAAATGAAGCATTGTCAGCTTTCCTATTTTTTTATGAGTTATAATGCCTAATGGAGTAAAAATATTGTTTTAGTTTATGCCGAGACATTGTAAAGTATGGTTTCGCAGTATTGATTGTAAGAGGCCATCATGCGGTTTAATGGCCCATATTTTGCATAATTTGTGCGATGATGTTTTATGGCAAATAGATTTCGATTTCGGAGTTGCCGAGTAGGTGCATAGAAATTTAATTTTGATAAAAGTTCTGTGGAGTCAATGCGCTGCGAAGCGATATCGTTTACAAATGAAACCATTGCATATTCACGACGCTCTTTTAATGTTTGAATGTTTATAAGCATGCAGTGTGCTTCAAATGATGGAAGAGGAAATGATGTCCAACCTAATTTACGAAGAGCGTATAATAGAAATTGTTTTTGTACAGATTCTAATCTTTCATCGTGCATGATTGAAAAAGGAGACCGTACTATGCTGCAATATTCCAGTATTGACCTCACATAGGCAATATATAGTGTTTTAATTGTGTATGGGTTATGAAAGTTATAGCAAAAGCGCTTGATAAAGCCTAGCATGTTATTTGCCTTGTGAATAATTATGTTGTAATGGTCTATGAAAGTTAGTTTAGAGCCTTAGATAATTCCTAAATCCCAAACTCTTTCACATTTTTCTACATTTTGATTTCCTAGTGCAATTGAAATATTTGAAGTTGTTCTTTTCCTGCGTAGATTAAATAGGGGAAATGGCTCTAATGTTAGTCTATGGATCTAATATTGGGCCCATCGCTAAAAAACTGCTTTTTATCAATTTTATCTAGATGCACGTGTCATTGAGACGGTACTAATGGATATTTTTGGTCGCTATTGAAAATTTAGTCGATTGCTGATATGGGCCCGAATTAGGGGCATTTAGGCTGACATTACATCCAATTCCACTAGTTAACCAGTCCGTGTAGAAACCGACTCGTGAATCATTTTCTGTTAAAAATACAGAAAAAAGTATACTAACAAGAAGTTCAAATATTTGATCAGAAGTTTTTTTTTTCTACGAATTTTGACAGTTTTCAAGTGTTCAGTTTTTAGCATTCCAAATATTCGCACATTGCATAAGCATTTTTGTGATAAAAAAAATCGATCACGGACGGTTTGAGATATTGGTGATTTTATTTTTTTTTCAAATATTTTAGTTAAAATAAATAAAAACAGTTGTTGTTAATTTTTTTTTACCCGAAAAACATTAATTTTTATCTGCAACTTAGTCTCAGACCTCATTTCGATCAGAAATGCCGTTTCCGTGCTATAATTATTTAAACAAAATCTAGGACGCAATTATGAGAATTTTACGTTGTAAGATAGAAAATAGACCAGGTTTTTACCACATATACCTCTGTCAATAGCAGATGAATTTTAATTCTAAACAAGCCTAAGTATTGGGAATTTATCTACCAATCTGCTAAATTGAACACTTTATTAATTTTCAATAGGTCACTATTGAAAAATACACAAATGTCCAACTGTTGCAATGGTGATCAAAATTATCACCGATTACCTGCAAACAGCGCATTCCCTAACACAGATTTAAAAATCGAATTCGATCCTGTACCACTGAACGTTGCTCATTCAATCACCGTTCGTGGTGGTGTCCGGTCGTCAACGTCAGTAGCAGCAACAGTGATTAGCGTGTGGCGTACCCCACGAAAGGCAGCCTGCAAACAGTGAGCTGCAGAGCCCACATGAGCACCCATAGAAGGAGGAAGAAGCCGCTGGATTGAAATCAGTTTCCTCGTGAGTAGCTGCGGGTCATAATCAACCTTGTGCGTGTCAACCTTGCTCCAAACAATTAACAGCTCGCCAACTACACCCCAATAGCTCAGCATTACTCAACCATCACGACTAAACGGTCCTTTTCAGGACCAGCACAAATTTGTTAAAGAGTATGTTTTGGATATTATAAAGGGTATCAATCGGATGTCAGTTCCCGCAAGCAGCTAACTATCAAAGCTCAATCTGGTCTATAGAGATTTTCACGTCCGGTTGTATTGGTGCGATATGTGAGAGAGTGTTAGTGAATATCCGAGGAAAATACATAACAAATCGATGTCAAACTCATTTTGAAAGATCTACTTTCATACATTTTTTAGGTTAGCCAGAGGAAAATAATAAACAACTTTACACGGCGTTGCTCCCACTAGTGTGCGAGCGTTAAACGTCATTAATCTCTATAGAAGGTGTGGAATTGTAGGCCTGAAGGTATTGGTGCAATTCGTTTTTCACTCGGTTTTCATTTCGATTCGCACGATTCGTTTACTCAGCCACCCTTGTAGTGGCGTCATAATGTTTGTTTCGATCGGCATAGGAAATTAATATGAATTATAGAATTTGTGTATGTTACCAAAATTTTTGAATGGTCTGCCACTAAATGTTGAGATAACTAATTGATTATTGAATATCACACTGTGCATACCATAAAAAAGCAGCCTGTTTGTAAGTTCCATATAACATACAGCTCGCAAGCCTTATCCGTGTTGAACACCCTAATAGATCAGCATTACTCAACCATCACAAGAAAACGGTCCTTTTCAGGACCATCATAAATATGGTAAAGAGTATTTTTTACGTAGGATTACGTCTTTCGGCAACGTATTGGGGGTCCAATTTCAGAAAATCAAATTCTACCGCATTTCGTAAAGAGGTCAGGTGTCAGGTCAGGTGTTGATTACATATAACTCTGTCAATAGCAGATGGATTTTTTTTTTTTTTTTTTTTTTTTAACTTTTTATTTGTTCCAAATTCAAAATAAATTACATTTCATTTTTAACCTAGGTGCTCCAGTTACTACAGTAACTTACCAGCCTTAATTGTTATGATATTTATCTAAGTATTTTTACATTGTTCCTGTCTTGGCAATTCAGTATTTTAAACAGGTTTTTTTTAAACCTGCATGTCAGTATAACAATTGATAGCTTAAAACTAAATAACTAAAACTAAATCTTATCTAAGTATAAAGGGAATTAATCGTTGCAATTGAGGATTGTAACGATTTTTGCCGGAAATTATTAATTATTTTGTTGGACATTTGTGCTAAAGTCTCAACATTCGAAATTCTATGTACTTCGGTAGTACTGTACCAGGGAGGCAACTTCAAAATCATCTTCAGAATTTTGTTCTGAATCCTTTGAAGTGCTTTTTTTTCCTGGTAGTGCAACAACTAGACCATATTGGCACAGCGTAAAGCATGGCCGGTCTAAAAACTTGTTTAAATATTAGAAGTTTATTCGTCAGGCAAAGTTTGGATTTCCTGTTAATAAGAGGATACAAACATTTTATATATTTGTTACATTTGGCTTGAATGCCCTCAATGTGATCTTTAAAAGTTAATTTATGGTCAAGTATTAATCCAAGATATTTCACTTGGTTTGACCAGGAAATTGGAACTCCGTTCATAGTGACTATGTGACTACTACTAGGTTTCAAAAAGGAAGCCCTGGGCTTATGTGGAAATATTATAAGTTGAGTTTTGGAAGCGTTGGGAGAAATCTTCCATTTTTGTAAATAAGAAGAGAAAATATCTAAACTTTTCTGAAGTCTGCTGCAAATAACACGAAGACTTCTTCCTTTAGCGGAAATACCTGTGTCATCAGCGAACAAAGATTTGTGGCAACCCTGAGGCAAATCAGGGAGGTCCGAAGTGAAAATGTTATACAATATAGGCCCAAGAATGCTACCCTGAGGAACTCCTGCCCTAACAGGTAGTCGATTAGATTTGGAATTTTGATAATTTACTTGAAGAGTTCTGTCAGTTAAATAATTTTGAACTAATTTCATAATATAAAGTGGAAAATTAAACTTTTTCAATTTAGCAATCAAACCTTCATGCCAAACACTGTCGAATGCTTTTTCTATGTCTAGAAGAGCAACTCCAGTTGAGTGGCCTTCAGATTTGTTTGAACGAATTAAATTGGTAACTCTTAAGAGTTGATGAGTAGTTGAATGCCCATGGCGAAATCCAAACTGCTCATCTGCAAAAATTGAGTTCGTATTGATGTGAAGCATCATTCTATTCAAAATTATCTTTTCAAAAAGTTTACTTATTGAAGAAAGCAAACTTATTGGACGGTAGCTAGAAGCTTCAGCTGGATTTTTATCCGGCTTCAAAATTGGAACAACTTTTGCATTTTTCCATTTATCAGGAAAGTATGCCAAGACAAGGTACTCTCTGGGAGTTTTTTTATGAGGATATAGAAAATTCCATCATCACCTGGAGCTTTCATATTTTGAAACTTTTTAGTTATAGACCTTACTTCGTCCAAATCAGTCCCCCAGGAATCATCAAAAATATTTTCCCGAGAGAAAATATTCCGAAAATCCCGAGCAACCTGATTCTCAATAGGACTAGTAAGACCCAAACTGAAATTATGGGAACTCTCGAATTGCTTAGCAAGTTTCTGAGCTTTTTCCAAATTTGTGATCAAAATTTTACCACCTTCTTTAAGCGCTGGAATTGGCTTTTGAGGTTTTTTCAAAATTTTTGTGAGTTTCCAAAAGGGTTTGGAACTCGGGTCTAATTTAGAAACATTATTTTCAAAAGTTTTGTTCCTCAGGGCAGAGAATCGCTTTTTAATTTGTTTTTGCAAATCCCGCCAGATAACTTTCATGGCAGGATCGCGTGTTCTTTGAAATTGTCTCCTACGGACATTTTTAAGACGGATCAAGAGCTGAAGATCATCGTCTATTATAATTGAATCGAATTTAACCTCGCATTTTGGTACTGAGGCAGCTCTTGCTTCAACTATAGAAGTAGTCAGAGATTCAAGAGCATAATTAATTTCATCTTTGGTT